TCCACAGGTGTGACATTGGGCTTGGTTGGATGGCGAAGAATCTGAAACAGACAAGAGAAATTAATAGTCAGGCTGCATGCATTCATAAACCACTGGACAAATTCTTGACTGGTTGAATATTCATGTGATCAGGCGTTTCGTTCACATGGAACAACCCTAACTGTTCAAAAATTTAAACGCCAAAATAGTGGTCAAAGTTTTAGCTGGTACAATAAAAGAATTTGACCAGTATGGTGTGAACACAATGACCATCTTTTTGACCAACAAAGTCGTTGTCCCATGTGAACAGAGCAAAAAGATTGAGAAGTTTCATGTGAACAAAGTGTTAAGTCAAATTTTTAAGCTGGTCGAGAATTTGTCTGGTGCTCTGTGAAGAAAGCCTCAGTGACACAATAAAAATTACCGTATTTATTCGATTAACCGCCCTGGGGGCTTATTAAATTTTTGGACCTTGAGAGTGGGCGCTTATTCGAGGCTGGGCACTTATTAAATTTTCACCGTTCTCAGCAAGTGTAGTAGTATATTTTGCAACAAAACAGTAAATGCTAATAACAAAAAGCAAAGATGTAACAAAGCAAGGTCTCTGTACAATACCCTGAAGAAAAATCCGCCTTCAGGAGGGTCTCTTATTATCTCTTATTGGAGTTTTTGTGGGAGGGAGTGGGGTGGGGTGGGTGCTTATTCGAGGCTGGACACTTATTAACTTTTTCTGCCTTTAGGATGGGCGCTTATTCGAGGTGGGCACTAATTCGAGGTTGGGCGCTTATTCGAATAAATAGGGTACCAGGATTGAAAGGTTTGTGTGTCACTATCTGCAAAGCCACTGTTATAGGGAAGAAGTTATAGTTTACTAGCTACATTTGTGAATGGAATTTCTTTCTTTACCAGACGTACATTTGGATAGGGTATGTAGGAACGTTTATACCCGCACAGTGATTTGCCTTTAAAACAATTTAAAATTACTCTTCAGGACCATGAACATGTGTAGTCTGACCCTAATACTTACAGGCCTCTGTGCTGCATCAAAGGTACTTTCAATTGCAGCTATCTGACTTTCACGATCCTGCAATGAAACCAATAATACACTCATGCTCTATCGGCTTCAGTTCCTCTAACAGCAATGTACTAATAAAAACTATGAACAAAATTATAAAATTAATAAACCACAGCAACAGAGACAGAGACAAGTTACCTTGTAAATGTCTGTTCCCTGAAATTTCTTTTTTACATTGAAGCCAACCCTGTGAATCAGAGAACAATAAACAAGGTCAAAACACATCCTAAGGACTAGTTACCAATGTCAATTTGCATCAATATCCATTTTTTTCAAATAAAAAATTGCTTTGTGCAATAATAATAATATTTTCTATGATAGCTTTTTAATTGAGTTCAAGAGTTCTACAATACACATACTTTGTTTCCACCATTTCATTACTTGTGCGACTTCTGTTATATTCAGTTGAAATATACTCCGTTCTTCTGAGCCATGATACATTTCTGTTGTGATGTGCAGTCCTGTACATCAAGGAAATGAGAAGAAAATATTAAAGTCACACTCTCACCTGTAAGAAATTTAACGATCAAATGAATGAATAACAAGGGCCTTATTCAGGAATGCTGGTTTTTGGCTCAGTTTTGTAACAATATTTCCGGTGCACTGCCATTGACATCAAAAACATGATTTGGGGCCATAACTGCACTTTTGGAAATGGAACACTCTTTTTTGATCTTTTAGAATAGTCCAGAAAGTGTTCCTATTACAAAATCCGGTCAATCAAACACGACCCAATAATAACTGTGAACATTTTCAGGTTATCTTCATGTAGACCTTAGAAGGATGATATCAATGGTTCAATGGCAAACAGTCACTGTCACTATGTTCAAATAAAATACTACGAACAAAATGAACACTACATGTATAAACAGCGAACGCTCAGGTACCATTATCCAAACTTGCACTTTTTTTAATAGTAAAAGTCAAGGCTGGTAAACACCATAATTTATGGTTTTCTGTACTAAGGTAAGGTTCAAGATAAAAGAATAAGACATGAGATACCAGGGTAGACTGCAGATGTATTCATACCGTTTCTTATCTGGTAAGTTTATTGGTTCTTCTTCCAGTAACTTTTCATCATCAGGGTCAAGGGAAACTGCAATACAACAACAAGAAAACAAGTAAACTTCAAAAGGAAAAGGTCAGACCAAATCACTGTCTGGCTGAAAATATGATTGAGCACTCTAATTTGACTTGCACCAGCTTACAGTGCCCAACAATGTTTTGAGTTGTTGCATCCATTTGCACGTGGCTTTAAAGCTCCAAAGCACTTGTATATTAAAAACCTCTTTTAAACGACCATCTCTCACAAGCAACCGAGACCACTTTTTACCCTTAACGTTTTAATAGTTTTTCATTGTTTTAAATCTCATATAAGTGACCACTTGCTTTTGCATGGCGTGGTTTCTTTGTTCGTTGTATTTACATGTACTACACCACTAGTATATGGAGTATATGGAAAGCTTTCAGAGACAACATACAAGTAGAACTACACATATCATAACTTCTCAACAAATTCTCTGCCAAACGTTGATGTGTGCCTCTTCTCGGAAGGGGCCCCTGTGGTCCCATTCTCGTAAGCAACCACTTTACATGTATATAAGCAAGCCACCCACTAAATCTTCGCATTTTTGGTGTTCCCTTAAGTATTATAACCATTACTATCAACATCAGCATCATCAACATCATCATCATCATCATCATCAACATCATCACCACTATCAGCATTATCATTATCATCATCATCATCACTATCATCATCATTATCTCCTCACCATTAGGATCCAGGGCATATGTATCAGGGTCAATAAGATCAATATTGACCCCAAGATCAACCTCTGTCAACATTTCATGTTTGTAGTTTTTCTCAAGTGAGGTTGGCTTGTATTCCACAAATCTGTTAAATTGAAAAGAGAGTCTAAGTTTTATCATCATCGTCTCTACAAGAAAAACGACAGACTTAAAACACACAATTTAAGCCTTCTAATAAAATATTATACTCACCGGTTTGACTCAAAAGGATAGGCAATAAACTTGGCATCAAAAGGAATGTCTGGTAGATTGTTGTTGTACTTTACCCTGGAGACAAAGTCTGCTTTGCTGAAACAATAGAAACAAAAGAAAAACAAAACATTAATGTTTCATTTGGTAATATCACTAATCTTTTATTCAGCATGTGAAAGATTTCAGTGATATTAAATCTTATCCTTTAATTATATTTTTACACACACATGTACACAGAAGAAACCTGAGAGAACCCAGTTCAAATCAAATCAAATCAAATATTTATTATGTAAGGATACATGAAAGGAAACATCAGAGGTTCTCCCTATCACTCCCTACAGTTGAACCCCACTTCCTGCTTGATATGGACACCTTAACATTACAGACAGTTTTCCTTATCCCTGGGTCAAAGCAAGCTCGTCAGTTAACCTGGACACCCATTAATGCAGACAGACACATTGGGTCAATCATTTAAATGAAGTCTAACTTAAGCTGCGGTTTAAGAAATCACTGGACTTCCAGATCTCTTTCTTAGTGGGTTGATTTAAGAAAATAGAGAGCTTTAGATTTGAGGACAAGAACGAATATGAGTACGAGATTTAACTTAAAGTTTTTGCGTGTGTTCTCAAAACAAAGACACCCCGGAAAGCTTCATTTTACTTTTTTTCACCACAAAAATTTGCACGGTTATTCATACTGAAGGAGGCTAGGCCCTCTTCCAGTGGAAGAATGATAAGACTTCTTACGTTTATACTTGTTCCTGTCACAACAACATTCTCACTAAACTCGTAGTAGCATGACAATGGCTATCACGTTTTCCCGCCAAAATGACACTGGTTCACAGGTGAGCAATACTCAGTATTGAGAAAATCTTGTACTTGTAGTCTTTCTCATCTCAGAATCTAAAGGTCCCTAATGAGTGCTTTTCCAGTCTAAGCAATATGCTTTATTGAGATTGTTAACTATAAATGGTGTTAAGATGAAAAAGTTGGGCAAACTGAAAGTGACTTAGAACAAGGTTTTGTTAAACACAGGCTAAACTCCATTTAAATAACTGGCCCATTGTTTTCCTAGTCTGATCCACAGATTCTTATAGATAGTTAGCCTCATTAATACAAACACATGTACAATGTACAATGTACAGATACCACATTATTCAGTGCGTGCTGTAATAGCCTTTACTATGGTGCTATAATAGGCTATAATATGGGAAGAGAGGGCTATGCAGTGGTGAGAGCACTCGCATCCCACCAATGTAGCCCAGGTTGAAATCCCAGCCTTGATGCCACAAGCAGGTTAAATTTGTTGTTGGTTCTCTCCCTCGCTCGGAGAGGTTTATTTCTTGGTACTCTCATTTCCCCCTCTCCTCAAAAACCAACACTTCCACATTCTATTTCAGTTTGGAATGCATGGACTCATTTAAACACATTCTTAACTTTACAGTAAATGCCAATGTTACATCTAACTCCACAAAGAGTGTTTTTATACTCATTAAAAATGTTCATATAAAGTATATTGCCAAGGAGTGCAGATTTTATTCTGTCTTGGCTGTGAGTACACCACCAACATTAACAATATTCTCACCTAACTGTTGAACGCAATGAGCTTTGCCTGAAAAAGACAAATATGGGTAAATTTCACATTCATAACCTGCTGAGTGCTATGACTGGCAGTCAAACTTGTTGGCCTAACATTTAAGTAACTTTTAGGTACATCAAACATATTATTCTGGCCACGGTTGTTGAAAGATTGGATAATAACATTTTTACTCACTGGATAAATCACAAGCAGTGGAGAAAGCAATTATCACATGTTACTAGTTCTCCTTATACTTTTCAGTGGATAGTGATTCATCCGATGTATTGTGTTATCCACCTTTTCAACAAGTGGGGCCCACTGGTTTCATTAAAAATAATAATAATAAAGCCCCATGTAGAAACACTCATTCAAGCTGGAATAAATTCATAAAATTAATGATTAAATAGTCTCTCCTCTTCTTAATTTATGGAAGGTAAATTTTGTGTATAAGTTCTCTTTGATGTTGCTGAATCCGTGGATAAGGTCAGGGAGGGATACAAAATGTCAACTAATCAAAAGTCTGTTCCCTTTGGGCATGAAATTAGGCACTGAGCTTACTGAAGTGAAGTTTTTAATGCACATCATAAGCTTACATGATGTACGTTGTTTGATCGTCCGATCAAGAGTAAGAGAGAAATTAAAAGGTTGGGTTAATAGCCACTTTTTCTGATCAACTTCGCTAAGATACTCATAGCTGAGCGGACAATGCACAAAACTTATGAAGAGCCATGTTATACCAACTTAAATGGTAAGTCTCTGCAGTCAGATTGACAGGTTCGACGGCAGCGTGAATACTGCCGATTGTTTACACTGATTTACGACACGAAGATTACAACGCTAAGGAAATCAAAGCTCACCTCCGCTCTTGATCTCTGCTCTTCTGCCCATCCTGAACGGTTGGCGCCATTTTAAATCATGTAAAAGTTAAAATGTACTTAGTGCTCGTGGTATTTTCTGCAGTTACATGCTGTTTCCCCCATTTTTCCAAATGCTGGAAATGCAAGATGGCTGCCAGAATACAAACGAGAAAGACTGGTAGTGATGCTAGTTCCAGGATCTGCGATTCTGGCCGAGGTTAGTGCACAGGACAACCACTGTTCATGTGACCGTCGTTTTTTTCTTCTTTTACTAAAATTGAAGAAATACAAATGAACATTACGACGGTTAAATTGTTAACTAGTAAGCAGAACCTTTGAAATAGACGAAAAATGGTATATTTGAAGAAACTCGAAATCTTTATTTGAACTGAGACTAAATAAAAACAGCTCTCATTTTAAAAAACAAACAAAAAAAATCAAAGAGAATAAAAAATCAATAAAGTATACAAAAGGTGTTGATCGGCGGATGCTTAGTTGAATAAATTCTTGTAACAGATTCGCATTATTGAAATTTACTTCTCTTTACTGGAACTTCTTCCTAAATGTTCCCTTTTTTGCTATCCAAGTCCACGTTTCGTCCGCTTATTGAATTGGACGAAGGTCCGTGCGAGACTCCGCAAAGATCATTTTTTCTCAAACGAAAAGCGACTGCAAGTAAAGTTACATTCAGATGCGCAAAACATATAACTAATCTTATTTTTATTCATATTCTGGACAGTTTTATAAATGGCCTCTACTTTATGTTGCATATTAAAAAAAGATGAAAGCAAACATTGTTGATCAACATTTAGATTCAAGTAACTAAAATCGATCGTTGTGGTTTTCTTCTTGCTCGTGCAATTTTAAATTTGATCAGATTAAAGTGGTAAAATCAAGGACAATTTTTCAGTTACTTTTTTGTGTTCATGTTAAAGTTAATTTTTTTCTTTTAATTTACTTTCTTGAAGCTCATTAGTCGAAATTCGGACTCTGTTTGCGGGAGAAAATTGTCTTTAAATGACTGTTTAAATAATCATTTGTATTGTTATTTAAATTTGTTCTTTGGACTTAAACTAAAAAAAATTCTAAAAACTCTTCATTCAAGGCAATCTCTAAACCCCGGGCGGACGATTTTTGTCACTGTTTCTCTTAAGCTGAGAATAAAACTGGGTTAATGTTGTCATAATTTTAGTATCCCTCGATTATTAATCGACCGGATTTCTATCAACTATAGTTTACATTTAATACATCGTACAGAAATAGATTCATATGCATAGATCTTAGAGACAACAAAGGTGAAATATCTGCAATATCAAAAAGGTGCCTCCCACTTAAAACAATACGTGTATTTGAACTACCCGTTTTGTGTATTTTCGTTTCGTCGGTAGACACTTTTCCTAACTTTTCGTCGCTTAAACTCATTCACAAGGCGGACGCAACTTCCTTAAACGGGGTTAAAGGGTGTATATTGTTGGTTTCCACTGAGCTTCACCGGCGTATAAAATTGGCTTAGTTCCGCCCAATATGGCAAAAGCTATGAAGACTTTATTCCTGGTTTTAGGTTTTCATATAATCGTTCAATATGCTGAAGGTAAAGGTATGTATGTGCTACCACTTTCCAAAAAAAATAGATATATTTTAATTTTAAATATGTTTGATAACAAACGTAGCAACTCTGATTCGTCGGGAGCGAACTAGCTATACATCACTGATACTATGCAAGCTTTGCTTTTTTATTAGCCGCTGGTTTATCTTTACAAGACTAGATTATACATGGCGGATTTTCGTGGGTTAAATTGCGTTCAGGACGCAAAAATTTGTCACACACTTCGCAGTAAAAGGGTTTCTGTCTATCCAACCCTCTAAAAGAGAATCAGGGACCTGTGAGGTCCCAAGGATGAACGACTGATCCCGTGAAAGAATTGAAGAGGATTAAAGTAAAGAAACTACAAATTTAAAAAAAAGCTTGAATAAAACTCCATCGCCGCGTTTACTCTTTTTTATATTTCAATTCATAGTTAAATTCAAGCGAAAAAAAGCTATTTTACGCACAATTTACCCATCGTAAGGCCTGTATTGTAGTCGTTTGAAATTAACACCATGGATTCAATAACATGGGCTAGCTAGCTAGCTAGTTATTTTCTGGGCTAGCTTAAAAACATTACGCTAAAGAGGTGCAATATTTTATTCCCTTAGGTTTAAAATGGGACCAGCTAAGAGGTAAGTGGGGTTTATTTTTCAACGAAACCGCGCATTTGTCAAATAACTCTAAAGCAGTAGCTGTTGATAACCAACCAACGCCAGTTTCAGATCCATATCTCCATAGCTGCAGTTGCACTAATATCTGTTTCTGTAAAGCACTCACATCATGAGTGTTCATTAGACTATATTAATGCGCCTAGCAACGAATTGTGCTTTTGTGGTCCTTGCTGTCAAATGAGAAAATTTTGCAAAAGCTAAGAAAAACTCTTTAAAGCTAAGGTTGTTACTTTCACCGTTCAAAGATAAATGTATTATCAACCCCCTGTTAATTACTAAACTAAAGAGTATTGAGTGTTTGAAAATTGAAAGTTGATCAGCACCATTTGTCAACATATCTGTACTCGGGAGCAAAGCATTTTCGATTTTCAAAGAAAAGAAGCTCGTCTTTGAGAAAATGC